TGGTGTGTGTGTGTGTGTGTGTGTGTGTGTGTGTGTGAGAGAGAGAGAGAGAGAGAGAGAGAGAGAGAGAGAATTAAGGGCATTCTTTAGTAGATTTAAGCTATAGCTATAGCTTTTTAAAAACTTATTTTGTATACAGTTCTTTAATTTGACTCTTAGAAAACAAATACCTTAAGGCTTTCTTATGTTGGAAGCAAGCTCAGTGGTCTCTTGGGTGTTGTGTAGGAAGGGCCCAGGTCACCTTTGAGGCAGCAACTGAGCTTGCCACTGGCTAACTTTGGTGTCGCCAACTTCCCCTTTGCCTTTTCCTTTCTCTTTGGCTGGGAATGGACTTTGTCTTTGGAACAGAATTTGGCCTTTAAAGAAAGCACATTTAAGTTTGGATTCTGGTTCAGAGTAACAAACCAAGCTTATAAATTCCAGTATCCTTCTCTTTGTTTCCAGTTCCCATGTAAGGAACGGGAGGGTTTTTTTTGGGGGGGGGAGACAAAAACAAACAAATAAAACCAAAAACAACACCCCCAAAAAAGCAGGGTCTCCCCTCCCCCTCCCCCTCCGCTGCTCAGGAGGGCACTCAGTTTGATGTACGGTTTTTTCTGGGCTTGTTGTTTGCCTCTCTCCCGCTGCTTCCCGCTGTCTTTGGATGGGAGTCGGGGCAAACTGGCTTCTCCTTCCCCCTTTCCTCTCCTCCTCTTTGCTTTATGTTCTAGTTTCCTGCTCACCTTATAAATTATGCATTTGTGTCGCCTCATCCCAGCTAAGGTTTTCTTGATGCTCCAAATCCTAATGAGGACTCTTGGGAGTGGGTGTTTCTGTCCTCAGACAAGTGGGTGAACAGTGTTTTGTGACATCAGTGCTGACCCTCAGGCTGGCTTTCTGTATCTGTTCCATACGCTCAGCTGTTGCTGCACGAGCTGCACTTGGTGTAGGCCCAGACCGCTCAGGTTGGGCAGCTTGGCTTCCTCGTGTTTCTTACCTGCACAGAGGCCGCGTAGATGTTGGGCATGGCGGCCTGTGAAGTTTCATTCAAACTTGGCCAGGTAGCTGGATCACTCATGCCTTCCAAACAGTAAATGGCTTTGTTGATCAGCTAAGAAGGAAGACATCAACAACGCCCTTGTAATACTGTCTGAGGTCTTTGAAGGTAGCAGATGTCACCATGCTCCTGATATCAAGGCTCTGCTCACTTATGTACACAGTCTTTTTGGGCATGCCTGTGGGTGAAGCATTTACTCAGTGGAAACTTCATAGTGTAAGCGTTACCACTTGTAAGTACACACACAGTGCTGTTGCAGATGCTGCTGGATATGCCATGAGACTCGGGACCAGATTTCTGAAATTTGAGAAATTCTCAGGAACTAAGGTTAACAACCACAGCCTCCTGTTTTCCGCACCTAAAATAGTTTCCCCAAGGCTTTTGACTGGGACCTAGTCCCTGAGGGTTCCTTCCTTCTAGGATGGCCCAGGAGAGACAGGTCATGAGGCCTTTCGGACCCCGACACTGAGAGCGCATTGCATGTCCCTGGCTTCTCCTGGAGAGACTGAAGGTACAGATTGGGAGTGGTCACCACTGGAGATCTTAAACAGCTCCTCCCTCCCTCCCTCCCTCCCTCCCTCCCTCCCTCCCTCCCTCCCTCCCTGTCTCCCTCCCTCCCTCCCTGTCTCCTTCCCTGTCTCCCTCCCTCCCTGTCTCCCTCTTTTGATTTTTTTGAGACTGTCTCTCTATGTAGTCCTAGAAGTCTCTGTAAACCACACTGCCCTTGAAACTCAGAGATCCTCCTGCCTCTGCCTCCAGAGTGCAGGAAATAAAAGTGTGCACCAACACCCCTGATTTATACACTTTCTTGAAGTGATGTTCTTCTTGTTTGTTTGCTTTTGTTGTTGTTATTTTTGGTTTTTGAGAGTCTCATGTAATCCAAGCTGTTTTGGAATTCACTATGGAGCCCAGGCTGGCCTTGAACTCATGACTTTCCTCCTGCCTCAGCATCCTAAGTACTGAGTATGCAGGCTTAAACCATCTTGCCTGGGTGGATTTCAAAGTGACATTCTTTTCAAATTCAAGATTAGCCTCTGGAGAAAGAACTGTGCCATTTTATGTTATATTCCATTCAGAAAAAGCCCTTTAATTTCCAAGATGGTTATTTCATGCAGTATTCTGTAGTTTTTGGTACATTAAATTTGATAGCCTTTATATGAAAACCTTTCTATGACTGTATTGAAAATCATTAATGTAGAATTTTTGGAATGCAGTTGCCATATAAATGAAATGAAATGCCAAAAAGACATTTTAGGTATAGTTGAACTTAAGCATCTATACAGTCTGTGCCAACATGGTTAAAATTTGCAGAATAAGGTATACTTGATTGGATTAGAATATTTAGTAGTGATCTGTTTAGATTTGGAATCTGTTTTCTAATTTATGTGTTAGTATATTTGAGGTTTTGTGGTGTTTTTATAGGAAGCATAGTTTAGGCTGATATCAGTGCCCAGGCCAGGTTCTGCTGCTGTTTAGTTCTGGAGCAGGAGCAGTGATCCCGTGAGTGTAGGAGGTATGCTGTTGACAGGTGTGCTGGGTTGTGTCACAGGACTGAAGAAGGAATATTCTGTTTTCATCTGAGCATCTCACATTATAAGACTGTGTGTGTGTGTGTGTGTGTGTGTGTGTGTGTGTGTGTGTACACATGTACATATGTGCAGAAGTGAGCACTGAGTGTCTTCTCTACTGGCCTCCATCTTATCCTATGTGACGGTGACTTCCCCCATGGCTGTATAGATGGCCAGTGAATTGTAAAGCCTTGGGATCCTTCTGTCTATCTTTCCCATGCTGGAGGTAAAGGCACGAGCCACCAAACCTAACTCGTATGTGGATGCTGGTCAGCTGAACTTAGACCCTCAAGCTTGTGCCATAAACATTTTACTGATAGAATCATTTGCTTAGCTCTTGAGGGGCGTTCTTCTTTTTGTAATTAACTCAGAACATATTAACTGAGGACTACAATAAGTAAATAAGTCAGATTGAATGCTGTATCAATACCCCGGCCCCCTTCTCTGTCCTTGTACTCTCTCTTTCCCGTGCCTTTGTAAGGTGTTGAAGCTGTAATTGAGACACCTGTTAGCATCACTTAGTAGCAGACGTCATTGCTGATGACTGGAACGGGGCAGATTCCAGACTTGAGCTGTGAGCTTGTGGGGTTTGAGTAAAAGACTGTGGCAAGTCACCGAGCCAGCGCCACGCAGGTCATCTTGTCACTTCTCTTTGCACGCACGCACAGGGCTGCAGGGTAAGGTGTTGGGGAAGCAAAACTCCTAGGACCGTTACAGCTGAGCTTGTCCAGGAGAGGAGCCGCTTGTGAGGGGCGCCACAGACAAGGCGCTTTCCTGTGGCCTCGGTGTGAGACAGGAGGTCAGTTTGAGGGATGTTTTCTTTGCAGCTGTGGTGAATCAGACAGTCTATGGCAGTCCCCTTAGTCCATGGTGACATGTTCTGAGACCCCAGTGGCTGCCAGGACACCCTGAGCCCTCATATGTACCCATCTGTAAATACCTGTTATGCGGTGTGTATGTAAACCGCATGACGAGAGAGCAGTGAAGCAGCCCAGTTGTGAGTCCCCTCTTGTGGTGTGGTTCTGTAAACGTGGGCCTCTTCTCCACCGTAGCCCCCCTCCCCCATGTGTGCGTGCGCGTGCCATGCCACAAGTGCAGATTGACAGAATCGATGTTCTTCTTTCACCGTGTGGGCCCTAGGGATTGAACTTAGGTCCTTGGATTTGGCAGCAAGCACCTTTATCAGCTGAGTCACCCCACCAGCTCTCAACTTTGTCTGGAACTCCCTTCTGGCTTCCTTTTGTTTTGTCTGATTGGCAGTTTGCTCTTCCTGTGTTTTGGAACCATGACAAGCCTTGCTTGAACATGGGCGTGGTCACACAGATACTGGCGGCCGACTTAATGGCGGATATGTACCCCAAGTACAGGAGTTTCCAGGTGGGGTGCATTTAGAGCTGTGGGCTGTTTATTCTGTTAGTTTCCATGCTCTGTTCTCTGACTGCAGGTGGTTTTGAGTAAGGGACACTGAGGACGGAGAATCACTCTTTTATTATTAGAGAACCTAATGTGTGCGTCCGTAGAAAAAGGGGGCTGTGATGATCGAGCAAAGCTTGATCCAAGATCTGGTTCTGTGCTCTGTAGGCCCCCTTGTCATAACAGTCAAGACTTCAGGCTGTCCCAAGCAAGATGGCAGAGGTGTTTGCAGGAAGGGTCTCATTTTAGACCTCCTCAGGCTGAGTCTGCAATAAAGTAATTGATCAGCTCTGTGGGATTATCGATGGTGGTCACTTGCATATTGGAAGCTAACTAGAAAATGCCGTTATTTTTACCCTCTGATTGATTTCCACCTCTCCTTCTGACAGTGGGGGAAGAGCCTGTTTTCAGGGTTATAGTTCTATCTGTGGAAGATGCTCTTGTGGGTGGGTGTGCAGGGAGAGAGGGATGGCAGAGACATTGTTTTTCCACAAACCTTTAGACTCATCTCTTGAAATGCACGACAGCCTCTCTAGAAGAAGGCTATTGCTGTCCTGTTTTGGGAGCATTATCTTAGAAGTTTAGCACAGCACAGTAAGACTTACTGCAGAGCCAGGAGGCACTGTGGAGATAGTCTGTGAGAGGGGATGAGGTATGAGGCACAGGCCGTGTAACAGTATAGTTACTGATGTAGCAAACTGCCCCCCACCCCCAGCAGGTGGCTGGAAGAAGCTGTGATGTGGGGATCATTTTAAGAGGTGATGTTTTTTGATCAGTTGATTGTGCTTCTGGAGGTTCATTAGAAGGAAGCTCCTGCACTCACTGCTTTCAACACACTGCCCTGCCCTTCAGAGGTGGGCTAACCTGGGGTGTAGGGGCAGAGCGCCCAAGTGACTGGGGAGGGCAGGGCCAGGGAGAAGCCAAGTGTTCTGGGGACACACCTGGAGTGCATGTTGAAACGCTGTCTCTGTTGTGCCTTCCAGATGAAGACAGTCAGTGTGGCCTTGGTCCTGTGCCTGAATGTGGGCGTGGATCCTCCAGATGTGGTGAAGACCACACCCTGTGCGCGATTGGAATGCTGGATTGGTAAGTGTCAGCCCCTCCCTTCGACCCTTGTAAACGGTTGTTTTAGATGCATTAACCTTTATTTTGCAGTACAGAAAATTTCCAGGGGAACAATAAAATATCAGCTATTGGTTTCTTCTTTTCCCCTTTAAAATTGGTTGGTATATGGCTTGTGCCTATACATGGTATATAATGGTAGGTACACACACTTCTGAAAAAGTGACCAACCCCTACTTGTATGTAAATATATTTGTAGTAAAGGTGAATTGATGAATTTTAATCACAGCATTATGGCACATATCAGACGGTGGCAGGGTACTCATGCTTACAGTGCAGTAAGGGTGATTTGCAGCTCTCCCATCCAAGCCCCACATCAGGGCATCGCGCTTGAGTTTGTGCGTGCACATGTGTGTGTGCATGCAGCAGTGTAGACTTGGGAGTCAGTTCTCCTTTCATTCACAGTGGGGTCTAGAAATGGAACTCAGGCAAGTGCACCTGTCTACCTGCTGAGACATCGCACTCCTGCCTGTTTTCGTTTGTTTGGTTTTGTTTTTGTAACCAATTGCAAATGTTTACTATTTCAAAAAATTTTAACTATACTAATGAAAATAAATTATAGACAACCTTCAATATTTGTACATCATTTTCATATAATAAAAATACATCTTATAAAGGTTATTTTCACAATACCATGTTGAAAAAAAAAAAAAAAGAACATTAAAGGGCATTAATCTGAAATATACCCCACAATGCTGACCTTGAAGCTGAGGAAACTGAGATACAGAAGAAAAGTTTGCTCTGAGTTGTTCTGTGAGTACATGGTGGCCTTGGGGGACCCCCCCCCCCCCCCGTTTCTCTGTGTAACAGCCTTGACTGCCCTGGAATTCACTGGTAGACCAGGCTGGCCTCAGCCTCAAGATCCCCTGCCTCCATCACAGTTGGGCACCTCCACACCTGGCTAATCCATTCAGAAGGATATATGCTTTCCTAAATTGAGAACTTTGTATTTGAATTTTACTTAGAGGTGGGCCTGGGCTGGGCTGGGCTGGGCTGGGCTGGGCTCTTGTGACTTGACAATGTGGGATATGAAGAAAGAATATTAATGACTTGCTTCAGCTGATGCTTGCATGGGGGGCTAAGTTTCCAAAGTTGCAAGCAGAGAACATTCTTCCTGATTCATTGTGTTGCTTGGGAACTAACTCTTCAGTGTTAGGTCTACCCTCAAGGAGTCTCTTAACAGCTTGCTCCTTATGGGGTGGAACCGGGGGATTGCAGTCAGGTGAGGCCTGTCTTCTGCTGCACAGTCTGGCCAGCATGGGCCCTGATTAGGCCTCCCGCAGCAGCCTGGCTCTATAGTGGCTCTGAGGTTTGGCCTGCAGGGTTCAGAAAACAGCTGCTGTACTGTGGCTGCTGTACTCTGCAGCCATGTGAGGTGGTCTGTGGGCTTCATCTCTCCCTGTCCATCACTGGCCGTTTGTCCCTGAGCTAACACTTGCTTGTTAGCACTGGGACAATCCTTTGTGTGCCCTGTTCTCCAGAAAAGGTGTTGCCAGACAGTGCTTTAGGTTCAGGCATGGCCTGTCAGCTGGGGAGGGAGAGCATGTTTACTTTACATGGGTAGGCGCTTCTGGAGTCCTCAGGGTCGGCCTGACCACCAGAAATTTCGCTGGGAAGGTCTGTCTTGGTGGAGACTTGGGACTGGCCCTTGGCAAACTGTTTTAGTTTGCCTGTGCTACTATGACAAAACAGGAGACTAGGAAATTCTTAGTAAATAATGGAAGTTTATGGTTCACAATTCTGAAGAATGTAAAACTCAAGTCAAGATGGTGGCACATGGTGTGTCTGGTGTCTGGTTTCTGCCCCTGAGATGATGATGCCTTGATCACTGTTTCACTTGGGTTAGGACAAAAGGGTGTAGAAGGTGTCCATCGCTAGTCTTAGGTACTCTGCCCTTGTGACTTAATCTCTTCTCCCTGCATGCCCCACCCCTCGGCACTGTCAAGCTTATGTTCCAACAGGATTCGGGGTGACATATTTACAACATAGTGTTAGCTGGTACTCTCCCCCGTGCAAGACTCCCCTCTCAGCACAGCTGGGTGCCAAGCGCCTCTTGCACCCACCTGTGTGGTCGGAGAGGGCATAGCAAGTGTGCCCGTTAGCTGTTATTGAGCCTGCTGGCCTCTGGGGTTGCTGTGCAGTCAGGGCTGATGTCTAGCAGGCATCAGATAGTAGAATACACATGTTCTCACTCCATCTAACAGATTAGACCTTTTGTGTCAGGTAGTTGTTGAAGCACAGCCCAGAGCTCTGCTGGGAGCTGAATGTGAGTGTGGCCTGGTAGGAAGGGGACCCTGAGCTGCCTGAGACTGCTCAGGTCTCAGAGATGAGGGGTCTGGATGGAGCCTGAAGAATATTGGACCTGTGCGAGGTGGCTTTTGTGTTGTTGTTTAAACCACCTGAGCACATGACAGAGGGTCCCAAGGCTGCCTGGAGAGAGTGTCAGTCAAGGGACTCTGAGGAGAAAGTAAGGCACAGACCTTCCTGTCACCTCTCCCAGATGGGCAGGGCATGAGCTGTGACTGTCAGAGTAAAAGCAGCAATGGCAGGTCCCCATTCCTCTGCTTTACAAACTCTGTTTTGCTGTCTGGAAACAACTCCTGTCTCTTTTCAGAAAAGCACTAGAGGCCATTGGGTTTTAAACTAAATGCTGTAGCAGTAATACGAATACAGTCCACTAACTGGTGCGTGGGACTGTTGGCCTGACAGCAGAATGCAGGCCACACTGCTGAATGGAAGCGAGGACTCTGGAGCCGGGGGTTTGTGAGCTGTCAGGAGAAGAGGTTTGCCCCAGGCATGGTGCTCCTGTTAGCCCCACAGAGTTATTTGGACAGGTGGCCCCCATTACCCAGAAGCCCTGCAGATGGACTGAGACAGTGTGTCTGTCTGCTACTGGCTGGGCAGAGCAGACTGGCACCGCAGGTCAGAGCCAGTCACCATGTGGCCTTGAAGACCAGTATGGTGGCGGTGAAGTGGGCATTGCTGCACACAGGACAGTGACCAGCTGGCCTCAGCAGGGCTGAGCTTGGAGCTGCAGGCGAGGTGGGCATAGCTGTCACCAGTGGCTCTTTGGCCTGTTGCAAAGCTCCAGAGGCAGTTGGAGCCTCTGCTCTTGGGGACTCCTAGTTTGGAACACCTCATTCTCTGTCCTGTTGTGCCAGTATCTTAGGTTAGTGTCCCTTCCCCTTTGAGGGAGGATAGCACAGCCACCTGTACTCTCCTCTCTCAGTCCTTTTCAGGGGACATAATCCCAGAGGCTGTATTTGAAGTCGGTTGTAAAGTATTGTGGCTCCTGGCAGGCTGTGGTTGTTCTGTAGTCACGTGGACAGTGAGTTTGTTTTTTTTAAAGGGAGGACCAGGCCAGCTGTGGATGATAGTGTCTGCCCTAGGATCCTAGCCCCTCCAGGGCTGAAAGGTCCTAGCACGAGGCAGACTGCAGTGGACCTGCACTGTGTTTGCCACTAATTACAAAATGGAGAGATGACATTATGATTAATAAGATGCAATCATCAAGAGCCATTCCTAATTTCAAAGTAGCCCTTTTGCTATTATGTATTTTCTCAATCAAAAATTAGTCATTCAAGGTTATGCAACTAATTAATGGAGGGATCCTTGAAAGACGCTCTGATTTACACTCCATCCAGTAGGCAGTACTCTACTAATAAGTCAATTAGCAAATGCTTAAGTGTCTGCTAACTACAAGGCACAGAGGACTACAAAGGTTCTTTGAGCTGGGGGCTGTGTCACTTCTGCTTTTGTATTTGTGTTGTGGTGCAGTCTGCATATGGGAGGCTGAACATGGCCTCCATACAGGAGCCTGTGATTCAGTCTGCATCCAGAAGGCTGTACCTAATCCAAGTGCATGGTCAGCTTCATCAGATGGCTTTTCCCAAACCCACCGCACCCATGGTAGCAGACCCCCGCGGAGCATGGGCCCGGAAGCCAAGGGCAGCCACATTACCACACCCGGCACGCTCTTGGTAGCGTGTGTTCTTTTTGATGCCCGTCTGAGTGTGAGTGTCTGGGCTCAGCAAACGACTTCTCTCCTTTTGGGGTCCTGCTTTATAGGATCAGAACCAGACACAGGAGCCCACCAGCCTGTGCAGAGTCTCACAGAGCCTTCCAGAGTGCCGTCAGTGATGGCAGTGGTGGCGGCAGAATGCAGTGCTTCAGAAGCATAGTCTGCCTGGGCACCATGTCAGGGTGTACGTGTGACGGTGACAGTAAGCAAAGGACAAAGAACACAAGTGTTGCTGTTGCCTGACCGGTAGCACTGTCAGTGCCGTACATGGCCTTGGGCCGGGTCACTGGAGAGCTTCATCTACCCTACACGAGATCCCCCACCTCGTACAAGGGTTTTCTTTTCGGGATATGGTCAGTCCCTGCCTTGTGTTAGTCATGGCCTATGGGTTGGGGTCCCCAGGATTGTTCCAGGTTTCCATAGAGCAAAGAGAAGTGGAGACTGGATGTCACGTCTGTGTTAGTCTCTCACAAGGTCTCCCTCAGCAGTGTGGTTCTTCTGGAGCTTGGGTTAGAGGTTGTAGCACCCATCTTAAAATGCTTTAAGGATGTTGACTGTAAGATGGAGTGGCTAGATGGCAGATGTGGCCTTTGGGAAGGTAAAGGCGGTATGAGCATTGTGAAAGCCGAGGAGTGCTTTGGATGAGGAGTGGCGAGGCCACTTAGAAGTCTGATAGGACGGACAGACTGCGGCCAGCTCTGATGCTTTTCTGTGTGCGTGTCTGCGCAGCCAGGGCAGCACTCCCACGCCCCAGATGCTTGCAGTGCCCCCTTACCTTGGTGCCCTCGCTGCCGTGGCTTCCTTGGTTTCCTTATTCTCCCTACGTCTCGCTGGGTTGTGGAGTTAATTATGAATACAGATTAAATAAGGAAAAAAAATCCAGCTTTTAAAAGATAATCTTTGGTAAATCAGAAATGCATTAACAGATTTCTTAAATTTCAGTTCCCAAGAATGCTTCTGATACTTTGTGTGATGACACTAGAGTCTGTGAGAGCCCCAAGCCATGGGCAGAACTGGCCACCCCTAGCATCTTCCAGCAGCTCCTACAAAGCAGGAGCTGAGCTGCTGCGTTTTTCATGGCCTCCTGTCTTCACCTGTGGGAAAGGCACATGCATTCTAGAATGTGAATGAAGTGGGTGGTCACTTTAAGGAAATCAGCTGACGTTGATAAAATTTGAGATTTCAAATAAAGTATTAGAATTTGGAAACTTGTATCTGCCACCTTGGTGCCGCCTTGATGTGTCAGTGAGTGTGGATTGTTCTAGAAACATCAGGGAGTGAAATGGGATCTGTATCACGCAATGAACATTGTTTTCCAAAGGGGTGCCACAAGGCCAGCTCAGTTGAGTGCCATGCCTCAAATAGCGGATATCAAGTAATCTTGCAGAGGAAAGAGCCATGGCCACTAAATCACTGCTTTTTAAGGTCTCCCCTCCCCTATGGTGGCCGTGTGAGTTCAGTGGTTTTCTCCATAGGCATCAGCCTCAACAACAAATGTCAGGGGAGGTGAACACAGACCCAGAGTCCAGCTGCCAACTCTTCATTTAGACACTGAAGACACTACAACAATCACATTCTTCTCACTAAACTTGGTGCTTGCCTGTTCTTGCTGTTATCTCAATCCAGGGTCTCTAGGCTGGCTGGGAGCTTCTAATGCAGCTGAGATTGACCTTGCCTTCTGGTCTCCTGAATCTGTCTGGGTGCTGAGATTGCAGGCCTGCACCTCCATGCTTGTTTTTTGTTGAGTTGACAGTGGAGCCCAGGGCTTCCTTCACATAGGCAGAGCATTCTACCAACTGAGCTGCATCTTTCATTTTTTCATTATAAATATTCATGTTAACATAGTGAATTTATCATGTGTAGTTTCAAAAAAGATGATTACATATATGAGTGTTTTGCTCACATGCATGCCTGTACTGCCTGATCCAGGAGGCCAGAAGGCATCAGATTTTCAAGAACTGGAGTTAGGGATGGTTATGAGCTGTGATGAGGGGTGCTGGGAGCTGAACCCAGGTCCTCTGCAAGAACAACAAGTGCGCTTAACTGCTGAGCCATTTCCCAGTCCCAGCTTGTCATGTTTAAATGAATGAATAAAGATAAAATAATTTTTCCTGTATGAATCAAATACTCCTTTTATCTCTCATTTGCTCATTGCTTTTGTAGCATAGGCTGGCCTTGAACTTGTGATCCTTCTGCCTGGCTCTCGTATTCTAATACGGTGTAATCAACAGACAAGCTCTTTGGGGTCATCAGATGTTTAAAGACTGGCAATGGGTCTTGAGAGGACAGGTGTGAGAACTGTAGGCTAAGGGTTGTTAGCATAGAAGATGCTCCCCTTCCTCCCTCCATCTCCTCCCTCCCTCCCTGCATACAGGAGGGTGGCTTTAATATGGAATCCCAGTGGAATAGCAGCCGGCCTCTCTGCTCGAGAGCAGCAGCAGAGCAGAAGAGTGGGAAGGATGGCAGGTGCTGAACAGGAGTGGCTGGCTGCCAGGTTGCCAGCCTGTCCTGCTCAGTGTGCGTTATCAGCTCTGCTTCTGGTTGAGCACGGATAAAACTGAGGCCTGGACACGTGTCTGTCAAAGGTTACGGCGTTGTAGAAGAGGACGTGCACATTTACTGAACTCTGTTTTTGTTGCTTCTACAGATCCTCTGTCTATGGGTCCTCAGAAAGCGCTGGAAACCATCGGTGCAAATCTACAGAAGCAATATGAGAACTGGCAGCCAAGGGTAAGCCTGCTGTTTGCCTTTCTGTTCTCAGTCATGGTTCCTTGCTTTAAACTGAACGAGAGCCTTGGCTTCTTCCCAGGTCATCCAGTAAGGGCCTGCCCTCGAGGCTCCTGTTACCTGTCAGTCCCTGCACAGCCTCCCACTGTAGGTCATGGTGCTTGTGAGTGGTGCACACCATGGTCTGTTTGTTTTGTGTAACTTTCCCCTAGGAAACTTATATAAAAAAGTCGAGACAGTGTTTCTCTGTGTAACCCTGCTGTAGACCAGGCTGGCCTCGAACTGCTTCTGCCTTCCAGTGCTGGGAATAAGGTGTACACCACCACCACCTGGCTAAGTGTTCTTTGAGACTTTAATTTTGCACGGAAAGATGAATTTTCAGTAATTTTTTTACACCATCAGTTAGAGAGAGTGAGCTTTCCTGCCTTAAGTGTTGAGATGCAGGGGAAGAGCACCTAGCACCTATTATGTGTTTAGCTTAATACAGAAGGTGAGATTCCTTTCAGGCATAGTCAGCTGCCAATCAATATGTCTTTGTTGCTTATGTCTGGACAGTTTTTATTTTTTAAGAAAACCTGCATGGAAGTTAACTCTGTCACATCGCTGTTGAGATCTTAGCTATTTGTCAATCCAAAGTCCTTTTCCTTTACCTTTCTCACTAACTGGCTTGAAGGATTAATAAATTCAATAGGAAATTAGAAATTTGGAGTGTTGGTGGAAATGTCTTTGTTTTCAGCTTTGTGTGAAGCATGATTCTGGAATGACCCACAGGCTGTTAGGACAGGCGTGGTGAGTAGGTGGCCCCAGTCATGCATGTACCTCTTGAGTCTGACTTGTTTGACTTGTACCTTTCAGCTGTGAGCGGAAGAAGAAAGGGGTTTCTAGAGCCTCCCCACTTAACCCCTGCCTACCCAGGAGGCTGATTTGTGAATTATTTAGTCACAGAGCTGGAACCCAGGGGCCTCTTTGTACATTATTTACATTCTTCAAGTAAGAAAATAGCCACAAATACACTTCTTCTGCTCTCTAGCAATGCTCTGCGGTGATGTATGGTGTAGCATTTGGTAGTGAGGTTCCAGGTCATTTGGAGAGAGTTCTGGGTGTTCAGGTTCTCAGGAATTTGCTTTTTGTCTTTCAAATCTGTAATTTCTGGTAGTTTATAAAAAAAAATTCCAAAGATTGGAGAATTTCCTTAAAAGTAGCTGAGATGCCAGTGTCCCAGTGAAAGAATGAATAGTGTCTTTGAAGGTTTGCAGGTGTCGCGCACGTCAGCTGGTGGGCTGGCGCTGAGGGAGCACATGGTGGAGTGGCCTCCTGGCCTCTGCAGTTCATGGAGGGGACGCACCTTTGATATTTGCTGGGTCTTCTTTCCGCCATTGCTTGTTGTCTAGGATAGGATGTGTCAGACCATGTCCATTCACATCCTCCAGTACGTGTTTTAAAGTATTCCCAAATTGCCCCAGATCTTGTGATGTTCTTAGTGACTCTAATTGTTGTTTCCTTCTTCTAGAGAGTTAGCCTTTGGGGGAAGTAATCATTCAGGTTACATATTTAAGATTTGAACACATTAATAATGTTTTGTGTGTGAGTGTGAGTGAGCGAGAGCGCCAGCTTCATTATTCATGTAGCTTGGCATGAAATTGGGTGTTATTTAGTTCACACTAGCAGACAGTGAACAGAATCCTCTAAAGTGGGAACCTTTTCTTTTGGGACAGGCTCCCTATGTAGCTCTGGCCATCCTGAAATTCACGTTGTAGACTAGGAGTTAAAGGATGGGCCACCAATGAGCATTGCAGTGCCCTCTAAGGTCAGGTGGACTAGGAGTTACAGACAGCTGTGAGCTGCCATGTGGCTGCTGGGGATTGAACCTAGGTCCTCTGGAAGAACGGCTGAGCCATCTCTCCAATACTCTTTCTATCTAAGTCTCTGCCCCAGAGCAAATCTGTTGCATGGCATTGTGACTTAAGGCTGGCCACATTTACATGCAGTAAATGGTCCAGACATAGAGACAGTAGTATGAGTCACTCGTAGGACGAGGTAGTGGAGGGGCGGGGACAGTGCATGCAGGCTTCCAGGGGACTCTCATGGGGGAGAACTGGTTAAAAGCAGCAGGTTTCAGAAACAGAACCATAAAATCGGAATGGGGAGTTTGAGGTGGGCACGGTTTCAGGGCTGTCGGATGCTTAGGAGATGTCAGAGCAGGACACAGCATCTCAGCAAGAGGCGGTTAGTCTTTCTTCACATCCCGGAAGCTATACTACAGCCATGAATGCCAGCTAATTTCTTCTTGGGAATGCCAGAGCTGATGCATTCATTTTCACACATGCTAAAAGTGTCTCAGAATTTCTTGATGTATGCCATTAGTGGGACTCCTCTATTTTAGAAATAGCCTATATAACATACATCACCAGCATACCTCTGTCAAATGCAGGGATGTGCTGTAAGAGCTTGGTGTGTATTGTATTTTCTTCTGCTTAGATGCCTCCATATGAGTGGAGGGTCGAGTAAGGAGGCCCAGCTTCAATGCAGAGCCTCTCAGTAGGCACAGATTTCATGCTGCAGGCAAGAGTTTGCACAGAGCAAGAGGTAATTATGCAGCTCAGATGTGTGGTGCAAGGTACATGGTCCCCAACGGTAAATCAGGATCCTTTGAAACATCGCAAAGGTAAACACACACCACTCTACTGCACGCTGCAGACCTCTTGTGCCTCTGCAGTAATGAAGAGAGGCTGATGTGCCATCTGCAACAGAACAGTGGGGTGGTATTAAACTACAAGACTCGGTGGAAAGACCCCAATTCTGTCCCCTCTTCCTCTGAATGCATTATTGCATCACTCACAGAGGTTGAACAATGTGCAGTGAGGTCATTTCATCCATATTTGCTGAAATCCCATCAGCTTCCATGTTGGTGTGGGTGGGAATAGATGGGTGATAATCTCCGTAGCAGAAGGAGCAGACCATAACCTACAGTACCAGTGGTGCCTGGCACACGGCATGTTCCTTGCTAGCGCCAGGCCAGAGCTCCCACATTTTCTCCTTCCTTTTCTGCCTGTGTGAGTCAAAACCAGATACTTTGATAAAGGTGAATTTGGTTCAGGCAAAAAACCAGAGAAACCACTGTGATTTTATTTCCAGAGGCTACCAGACTGTATTGGGCTGTATTTTCTTGCCTGGTTGATGATCCCTTTCCTAAATAATTTATCAGTTTGACACTGGTGGAATATTTGTTTCTAGTTAAGTTTAAGGCGTTGCTTTATTACCTTTAGGCATATAAACTCTAGTTTTATGGGGGGGGGTTGAAGGGAAATGCCAACTGTTGTTTTAGCTGGGAATTCAGTATTAAAGCTCCCTTGTTTCATGATGAGCTTCAAGCACAAGTTTTATTGGGAGCCGAGAGCAGGGGCTTTTAGGAATTTGCCTGACAGATTGGGGCGCTGGCAGTTTAGCACGCGATGCAAGCTAGGAGCTGGAGATAGGCCCACTTGCCAGGTCTCCTTTCCCTAACTAAGGCTGGGTACGGGAGGCACCATGCCTCTGCAGGCATAGGCTCCAAGTAAATTCTGTGGGAATCGTTCCCACTTACTGTGTGAGGGAAGGAGCTTTGGTGCACCTGACACAGTTGGCAGACAGCTGGGGGACCATTGCGCGGCCTGAGGGGAGGACACTGTGAATGCACTTTGCCGGTGGAGTCCCTTCTCATCTAGAGGCAGGGACGGCCTCGGGCTCGGCGGTCGCCTTGGGCCGTAGGAACCACACGCAGCCATGTTCCTGCTCCATCAAGCAGGTTTTAGGTCCTGGCTCCTTTTCAGCATGTTGTTCCTGTGTCTGTCGCACTGGATTTGTAGGGAACAAACGAAGCATGTTTTTATAGATCTTCCTGTCGAGCAGTGAACTTGGGAACCGGGATCTCTTTCCAACAAAACAAGGCTCCTGCTCTGGTTCTTTCTCCGGAGAGCCCCCATTGCTGCCTTGGTGAGGGCTGTACACTTGGATTGCACACATGCCTTGTGAGCTGCTTTCTATGAACTGGAGAGATGAGATGGCCATGGACAGCTGCCTCCCTTCCTCTTCCCCTCCCCCTCCCCCTCCCCTCCCCTCCCCCTCCCCTCTCCCTCCTCTCCCCTTCCCCTCTTCCTCCCCTCCCCAGATTTTTGTTTGTTTGTTTTGGTTTTGGATTTTTTTTTTTTTTTTTGAAAGAAGGCTTCTCTGTTTAACAACTCTGGCTGTCCTAGAACTCTCCTTGTAGACCAGGCTGGCCTCGAACTCATAGAGATCCCCTTGCCACTACCTCCCTAGCACTGACACATTTCTTTCTGTGCTGGATTTGTAGGCTTGTTCTGTGGAGGTTCAGGTACGGGTGTTGCTCAGTGAACTGTGAGCGCTAGGGTTGGAGGTCGCTCTCTCCTCCCCAGTGGCCTGCACTCTTAGAGCTCTAAGGGAGGGTAGGCTCGTAGCTGTCGTTGGGCTGTTGCTGGTTCCTGTGGTTGAGTAGGCTGTAGATGTCTGGAGCAGAATGGTCGATGCTCGTACTCTTCCCTGACCCCACCCTGGAGTTCTGTGTAGCTTTACTTTGGGATGTCTGAGCAGTGGTGCTGGCATGAGCCAGTGTGTGCTGCCTTTCTTGGGATCTTCAGTCAGGTGTGGAAACTCCCAGAACATAGTGTGCCTGGAAGGTGCTCGGGAGGGGTCACTCTGCAGTGACCCCCAGCTTGGGGCAGTCACATTTTGACAACACCGGCCATCTGGAAGCATAGTCCTGATAAGGTCTGTCTGCACACAGTCCTGGTAGGGCGCCACTGCCATCCCTTGGTCTGCTACCCTCGTGTCACGACTGCACCATGCTCCTGGTGTAGGTGGCTTCCTCTGCCAGCAGCTTTCTCTGTCCTCATCAGCATGGCTGGATTCTCTGTGAGCCAAAGGTTGGGCATCATCCACCTGTTCGTGTTTCTGTGACAAACTGCAAATGAGGACTTCTAGCCACAGGCGGAATTGTAGCTGGCTGA